ACACACACACACACACTTGGCCTTCAGTCAAAAAATAAACTTTAAACTGTCAAACCAATAATGTGAAACACACATTTAAGGTTTTATGATTTGGATTATTGCTGCTATGTGTAATCTGCTGTATCAAGCACATTAACACACAGTCACACACACACACACACACAAACAAGCATGCATACCTGTTGATTATGTGATTAGTTGCAATAATGAAAAGCAGATGTTATTCCTGGAGAGCTGACCAATGTGTGTGTGTATGTGTGTGTGACTGTCCAGGATTTATAGCATCAGGTAATCCAGTGTAGGTTTCTTGACTCAGTTTTGTGCAACACTGTCAGAGAAAGCTCTAAAAGTCACTTGTATAACAGGATTATCCAACATGCGTCACTGAAGGGACACTCCGCCCTGAGAACTACAGCCCATCGATTTCCCTGCGATCGCCTGTCTCATGCTGATGAAGTCATGTTTGGGTCACAGTCTCCCGAGTCTGGAAACCAGACTCAAGAACAAGAATCCTTTCTGTAAAAAATATAACCCACACTGTACTAATGAATTAGACACAGGCCTGGTTGACTCATCGCCTGTCTGAGGACTTTAAATGTGTGTTGATTTCATGGTCGTGCTAATGGGCTGAGAACCATCAGTGCCCCTCTTCTGATGTAACATCACTCTGGGTACAGTGAAATACTCATTCTGCTTCAGTGGAACACCTCCAGGATGTTACACTTGATCGCGAACAGAGTGTGTGGGCGTTTGTTTGTTTCTTGCTCAGGGAAGAAATTTGTACATGTTTGCAAATCCGGACTCAACGGTCCCACGGCTTTAGAAGTGGCATGTTCAGAAAATGTACGATTCTGTGAGTGATTTTCTTTTTAAAACCTGAAGCAAGACCAAAAGAGAAGCTTTACCCGGTGGAGGAGACCACTATGATGGCCCTTGGGTTGACCAAGTCTGCCTCAAACAGCGTCCGCCTCCCGCTGCCGTCCAGGTTGGCGGTTTCGATCACGTCCGGGTTCGAGTCGACCCAGAACATCAACCTACGCTTTACATCCACCGCCAAACCTTCTGGACTGACCAGATCTACAAGAAGCAGGGCGACCACAGAGAAAGTAATGAGATCATCTAAAACATCACACAACAGTTGTTATGGAAGTGAATGAGCGTCAGTGTGTGTTCCTACTGGTGTTAATGAGTATCTCAGGCTCGGCTCCAGGCGTCATTGAAGCTCTGTTGATGGTTCTTGCAGATAAATCGGTCCAATAGACTCGGTTCTCTTTGCAGTCATAGGCTAAACCAACAACTATGGAACCCTGCACACACACACATATGAAGATAAGCATACACATAATTACATATATTATTAACTTAACTTCTGGTTGCTATTGCTGGCTACAGTAAATACAAGTCAACAGTTTCAACTCTGGTTGATTCACACATCTCATTTTAAGTTACGTACAATGTTAACTAGCTCTGGCATTAGCTAGAATTGATCTAATTTGCGATGCTGCTTAGATAGCGGTCGGTGATAATGGAACACATTCCCATTTCTGGTGTAGACAAAGTTACAAGGCATAAAAACAGATCCTGATTTTTAAACATCTTTCTTATTAATAATCAAAGAATCACAAGAACTATGTATGTAGAACCAACTAACAAAATAAATACAAGGAGACAGAATATGAATACATACATGTAGAGTCAGTAGTGTTTTGGACCGGGTTGCATCGAGTCTGGTTCCGTTCAGAGGCAACGCTCCTATTTTCTGTCCCTGAGCGTACAGCAGTGTGACGTCAGTGTTTGGAGGAGGGGTCACATTCGGGCGGGGCAACGGGCGCACGGTGGGCGGGGCAACTGAGGGAAGGCCTGGGAAGAGATTGGACGGATTAAAAAAGTTTCACCAATGATAGGTGGCGTGAAATAGAGCACAGTCACATGTCATTTTGACAACATGTGGGTGAAGAGAGACTTACATGCAGGTTTGACAACATCATGTGATCGGGTACCAGAAACCTCCCGTCCGTCCTGGTCCACACACCAGCAGTAAGTGGTCTCTCCATAACACTGGACTGGCCTGAGAGACAATTCAAGAGTAATTTGATATTAAAAAACTATATTTTGCTCCTGTTTTTCTGCTCTGTATGTATGTGTGTGTGTGTGTACCTGAATTGTCCATCTGGATCGCACTGAGGCATGTATTGTTGTGGCTCTGGTTTTCCACCGTAGTGCTCCATCAAACTGGCTCTCCATCGCTCGCACACACTGTCTGGACGCTGGGTTGGACCCACCGGGACTGAAGGGGAGAAGAATCAAACACACCCAACACTGTTACTGTTAAAGTTAAATTTAATCCTACTGTAAGTTGTCATTGTTTAATGATATTCTTATGCTGTTTTCTAGCTCTAGCTTTCACAGGGAGTGCTTGATTAATGGTACGGGGAGGCCCTGTGTTTAAAGAGGCACACACAATGTACACACATCTTGCTTTTGTCAATACTGTTTATCTTGTAAAATCCCTTAATAACTCACTTTACAGGGGAGCTTTAAAACTAAACCCAAAACCACTTTAGGCTTCCACTAATGTTTATACTGGCCCCTCTCTCTCTGTACATTTCTAATGTGAGACTGCACAGTTACTAAACTAAGGAGGAGATTAGGATCATATTTGAGAGGAAGGTGAGAAGAGCACAACTCTATAGTGGGAGATCAGAGAGATAAAGAGAGACAAAGAATAACTAAATCAGACTGATGTCTCATAATAAGTTTTTCTAGCAAGATTTATTGTAGTGGAGGTTAGCAAGCTGCAGTCCGGTCTTATGAATCACTTGGTTTTACTTCTATTTACTGTTTAACCACACGACCAACTGAATTTAGTGCTTCCTGTGTCTCTGACGTGCTTTCCCGAAATTGACAGCATGTGGACTGTCCACTAAATCGATGACATTTCAATCCTCTGCTGACTTACTGTGTTGGCAGTGAGTTGTAATACTTATGTGGGTACGCATAAATACAGACTAACTTCCACCAGCACACAAATCTGAGAGTGCCTGCATCACGTAAACTCCAGAAGTTAATTCATGAATAAAACAAAAATGGTCAAATTATGCGGTTACATCCACGCAAACAATGTTTCTAGTCTCAACTCCTGTGTCGACCAGAGGATATGAGCAGGAAATACCCTCCCCTCCCTCATCAAGAACTATTACAGAGGAATCCCTGAATATGGCTCCAGTGCACCGAACCACCAAAAAACAAACAAACAAAAAAAGGTTGTGTGTGGTTGCACTGCGCAGCTTTCAGGTGTGAATGAGTGCAGCTGAATATGAGGAGAAGTAGGAAAGAAACAAACTTATGAGTTCAGAAAAGTTAGCGAAATGTACAAAATCTACAAGCATGTGTTTCTGTCTGTACATCTGCAGGGTGGGTGTAACACTGCTTTGTCACTCAGCTGGTCAGGCGGCCCATCTTGTTTCTGTTTGGTTGCCCGGCAACAGCAAGCCGCTCATCTGACAGTGCCACGAAATGACCACTTCAGATGTTTGGGTGGTCATAAATGGAATTTATAGCAAGGTCAGGATTTATAGAACGGCCTCTGTGTACATTAGAGTGTGAGTGAGATGGCGAGAGAGCATCACATAACCACAGAGAGAGAGAGCTGCAAACTTTTAATAGCCACAAAGACGTTATTAGACTTTATTATTATTAACTCAAAAACTTGACATGTTTAAAACTGCTTATGTTGGCTACCCGACCAATTATCAACATTCTCGTTCTAAAGCTCTTGCTCAGCTGTGATCACTGTGTCTTTTCTTTCCAATAGATAGATGAGAAGATCAATACCACTCTCATATCTGTCTGCTACAGTATATGAGGTACAGTCAGCAGCCTCTACAGCTCACTAATTAAAATGCCATATTTTTTGTGTGATTAAAATATAATTTGTGGTTTTCAGTGCCATTTTGGAGTATTGTTGTCACTTTGCGGTTGCCAGGCAACCAGCACAGACTCCAGTTAGCTTTACAGGTGCTGGTAGGTAGGCTAGCTTTTCCCTCTGTTTGCAGTCTTTATGCTAAGCTAACCAGCTATATTTGTTTCCAGACATGTGGGTGGTATTGATCTTCCCATCTTAATCTCAGCAAGAAAGCAAATAAACGTATTTCAGAAAAAATGTCAAACTATTCTTTTAATCTTAATAGTATTTTGCTATTTCTGGGTGATATCACCTAAAATCCACATCAGCCCTGGTGAATTGGTGCTTGTACTGAGTTAACGCATCAGTAATGTTTCACAGACTCAATGTGCCTCATTAAAGAGGGAAAGGCTGCACTCCTTGTTGTCTTTCTCCTGACCCAGTACGCTGATGACATTCAACTATCCTGGCAAGCTGGCCTCTCAAAGAGCACTCCATCCTCTTTGATGGTATAATAATAACTCCTGCACACACTGCAGTCTTCATATGAAGAATGTGGATATGGTGCACATATCCACACTGAGAGTAAGAATTATCAGTCTCACCTGGTCTGTCACAGTCTCTACGTGGTGTACCAGGTGGAGTCTTGGTTCCTGGTCTCTCCTGTCCCCTACTGTCCACACACCAACAATGTCCAGTAGAGCCGTGACACTGAAATAGACATAATGATAAATGTCATATGGAATAAGGATGCAAAGTATTTTTCACTTACAAAACAATTAAAAAAGATACCTGTTGAGATCTGTACTGTCCATTAGCATCGCACTGAGGTACAAAGGCTCCAACAATAGGATATCCCTCTGCACTGGTCTAGTGCTGTTACACCATGCTTCTCTGTGCTGCTCACAGTGAGTTTTAGGTTGCTCTGGTTCATCTGAGGATTATTTAAAAAAAATAAGAAATGGAATGGAAACATTTGTAAAAAAAAAAAATTCACTGGTCAAATGGACACAAACCAAAGGAAGCTTCTTGGTATTGATATTTTACAGCATACACTGCAAGCCAGACGCAGACGTCGAAGCTGAGTACACTAAATAAACCAAACAAAGACACAACTGGGACAGTATCGTTGTTTGGTCCGTGAGCTCTGCCTGGATAGAGAGTGGTTTCAGCGATATTTTAAGCTGACTGTGGAGCCGTTTGACCAGTCTGATCGCAGATGAATCACTACATCCCCTGCAGCCCCCTCCACTGCAGCCTAAACAGACTACCCCAACACCTAATTGGGTCTGAATACAGCCTTAACCCTTTTACAAGCTTTCCACTTTTAAAGGCTTTTAAGAGGGTTTAGGACGTACTCCTCCCTGACTGTTTAGAAGATGTATGGTAAAAACAGATGCCCAACACACTGAGGTACCACATGGTCTAGGATTGAGCCCACTACTATTCCTCCTCACAATTGATGGCTTGGCTCTGTTTGCACAACTAAAACCTTCCTGCTACTGCTGCTACTATCTTGTTCAAGATCTACTCTTATCCTGCATGGACTACTTAAGTATTCTCTTTAGCATATAAAGCGTATTCTGAAAGCTATACAATGCCTGATTTACCTACCATATATTATGATCCATCCCCTTTATTCCAGCGACCCAGTACTTAAATGTGTGTATACATGCTGACAAGTTTGGATGCAACATGTCTTGTTAGAAACAGCAGTCTCACCTGGTCTGTCACAGTCTCTAGGTTGTGTACCAGGTGGAGTCTTGGTTCCTGGTCTCTCCTGTCCCCTACTGTCCACACACCAACAATGTCCAGTGGAACCGTGACACTAAAATAACAACAGCAGTACACCAGATTAAATTCATGTATTTTCAATTTCAAAATTATAGTTCAGTCACTGATATAAAAATAATGTTTTTTAATGGATTAAACAAATTACAAGCACTGACCTGCAGTGGTATGTACTGTCCATTGGCATCACACTGAGGTACATAGGCTCCAACAATAGGATATCCCTCTGGACTGGTAGTCTGTACACTGTCTCTGTGGTGCTCACAGTGAGTTTTAGGACGCTCTGGTTCATCTGGTTGAGAAAGATAGACAATAATAGGATCATACACATATTCTTTTATAACATTTATAATAGCGGATAGAAACCCCCTTTTCCTAAATGGATTGGTAGATATTTAAATACATTAAGTAACTGTTTTCTTATTCTGTAAAAAGTAATTTTTCATGTGTAATGTTTGTTTTTAGTAAAAACATAATAACTAATATAGTTTAATTAAATTAATGGAATAATTACTGATTATGCCCTCATCACCAGTCCTTCATCTTAATGTTAATTATGAACAACAAATGCAGTCCATTATAAAAGATGTGGTCAACCTAGACTATACATTTTTCACAAATGTTCATGTTTCAGCTAATTATCCTTTTGTATAATATTATCCTTTATTGCATAGGCTACGTTTGTGCATTGTGGACAGGGCTGTGTTTGTGTAAAGTCTTACAAATGTACTTTAAAAAGGCTTAGAAGGTTTAAAATGTTTATTTTCTCACTGACAGCTCATAGTTAGAAGGTCATAAAGTCCATTTAGCCAGGATATACCTGTCAACTTTTAGTTAATATAAGAAAAAAATAACAAAGTGTCTCTTTGCCAATAGCAACAATATAGATACCAAATGTGCTTCATCTCAGTTTCACACTGCCGTCCTTCACTTTCAGCTTCCCAGCACACACACGGCCTTGCAGTGATATCACCTGTTTTTCCAGGCATTCCAAGGCTACGACCCAATGACCTCAATAGTGCACCACTTACAAGGTTAGACACACACTCACGTAAACGACTTGTCATTGAGTTGAGGAATTAGGGGGTTCACAGGTCAATGTTTAGCAAGAAAGCCTTGGAGAGCCATGACATAATACACCTGCTGACGCTGGTTTGGACAACTCAAAACCCTCCTGCTTCTAGCTTGTTCAAGATCTACTCTTATTCTGCATGGACTACTATAAATCCCTTCTGACTGGGCTCCTAAAGATTTCTCTCTCTAAAGAAGTCTTTAATGCTCATTCTGAAAGCTGTACTATGTCTGATTTTACCTGCCACATGCAACATGTCTTGTGCAGCTAGAAACAGCAGTCTCACCTGGTCTGTCGCAGTCTACAGATGGTGTACCAGGTGGAGTCTTGGTTCCTGGTCTCTCCTGTCCCCTACTGTCCACACACCAACAGTATCCAGTGGAACCATGACACTGAAATACACAGTAACAGTAATCGTAATGACAGAGCAATGACATTATGTCTCCATGTCGCCATAAATTAAAACCAAAACTTACCTGTTGAGATCTGTACTGTCCATTAGCATCGCACTGAGGTATAAAGGCTCCAACAATAGGATATCCCTCTGGACTGGGTAGTCTGTACACTGTTCTCTGTGGTGCTCACAGTGGGGTTTTAGGATGCTCTGGTTCATCTGCAAAGGAACAAAATCTCTTTTTCAGTGAACAGGGATTTCTCTGTCATGCTGGTTGGCAAATTCTAGTACATATATTTTTCAGCTTTTGACCCCATCATATCTCTTCAAATAACAAGCTTCAACACAATTTGATAATTAAATAACAAAAGTGGAAAGGGTTGTCCTGTCCACTTTCTCAGGCTAAGCTAACACAAAGATGAAAAGTAAGGGCCATTTTGACGTTAAGTTTCATATTTTCTCCTCCTCATTCTCAGTGATGAGGCACACCAGGATGGTGTCATCTGCATACATGAGCACTGTTTGTGGCTTCATTGCCAGACGTACACTGGATCAAAGTTTAGATCCATGTAGAGGAGCTAACATTATTCAGCAACTCCTGTGAAAACAGCGGTATGATGTCTTCTGTGTGGGAGGATCTTTGCAAGTCTTAGAAAATAATCCTGATGATGTTATACTTACGTTATTATCTCAGCTTGGGCTTGGAGACTACAAATTTATGACAGAAAGT